TACACCATAGAATACTACTAAGCCGTAACAAAGGATGAAATAATGTCTTTTACAGCAACTTGGATGGAACTGGAGTCCATTACCCTAAGTGAAATATCCCAGGAATGGAAAAACATATTGCATGTTCTTACTTGTAAGTGGGAGCTGAACAGTAAATATGCATGGTCATACAGAGAAGTATAACAGACATTGGAAACACAGGAGGGGGAAGTATAGGAGGAAGGTGAGGGAAGAAAAATTACCTACTGGGTACAGTGTACACTATTCTAGTGATGAGTACACTAAAAGCCCTGACCTCACCATTATACAATTCATTCATGTAACAAAGAAAATATTTTTACCCCCTAAATCTATTGAAATAAATAAATACAAAGTTTTTAATGTAAAAAAAAAAAGAACTGGGTAAATCAAATGGATAGGTAAAATTCAAACTAATTCTAGAAATTATTTTTGAAACTATATATTTTTCAAAATCTATTTAATAATAACGAGATAAATAAATAAATTAGTGTGACACTGATACAGAGTAGACTTACAGATAAGTAGAATAAACCAGATAACTTAAAAACAGACCCATTATAAATAAGATAAAGTAAGCATTACAAACTTGTGATAATTCAAATTGTCAGTGGGACGATTTGTTAACCATTTGGGGAGGAAAAATGAAGTTAAATACTTTGTACCAGATGCTAAAAAGCACTAAGAAAATGTTAATATTTTTATACTCTGAGATTAAGAAGGGCCTTTCAAAGAATAACACTAAAGGCAGAAACCATAAAGAAAAGTATTGACAAGTTTGGCCACATACATTTTTTAAACTTTTACAAGTTAAAAAAAATAAAAGGAAGAAAGAAAGCTTAAATATAGAGAACTGAATAAATTACTTAAATAAATATGAAAGACAAAGGCTTAATGTCCTTAATGTTTAAAATGTTCTTACAGATTGATAAGATAAACACAGGTATCTCAATAGAAATATGGACAAAAGCCCTAAACAGGCAATTCATAAAAGATTGCAAATAGCCAACAAACATGTAAGAAAAAAATCATCTTCCATAATCACAAAAATACATATTAAAAACAATAATATGCCATTCTCACTCGATTAACAAAAATTAAGAATAATAATACTGCTCAATGATGGTGAGATTGGAAGGGGTGTGGTCATTCTCACATAACTAGTATAACCTTTCTGGAGAGCAATTTTGCAAAATGTGTCAAAAGCACAACCCATCAACTCAGAAATTTTACTTCTAGCATTTTGTTTCAAGAAAATAAGGCAAGTATGCCAAGGTGAATATACAGTGAAGTTTATTGTACCACTGCTTATAATGCTGCTTCTCATGAGAGGAACTAGAGCCTACTGAATAAGATTCAGACTGGGGAAAGCCCTTAGGCAAATAATTTAATCTCTTTGTGCCTTAGTTTTTTCATGTATAAAATGGAAATAGTAATATTATCTACTTCATAGGACTGTTGTGCAGGTTAACATGCTTATAAACAGTTCCTGGCACATAGGAAAGGCTGTTTCATTGTTAGCTGTCTCCACTGTTATCATGGTGGAAAACCAAAATAATCTAAATATCCAACTGTAAAATATTGGTTCAATAAATTATGATTTAGCCATATAATGGTATAGTCTACACATTAAGAATGATAATGTAGGCTTATGTTTTGTGATGTAGAAAAATGTTCTCCTCATATTGCTAAGTAAAAATAGATTATGAAACAGTGTGTATTATATGATCCTATCTTTTGTTTTTAATATAGATATATATGGTACAGACAAAACTCAGATTGTATGTTAATAATGTTTCTCTCTGGCTAATGGTAGTACAGTTATTATTTTGTTTATCTATTCCTAAGTTTCCTACTATTCCTAAGTTTTCTAATTTTTTAAAAAAATTATTATTATGTATTATTTGTATTAAAAAATAGTAAATGTAAAACAGAGAAAATAGTTTGGCAGTTTCTCAAAAAGTTAAACATAAGAGTTTCCATATGAACCAGGAATTCCAGTCCTACATACATAGTCAAGAGAATTGAAAACGTATATTCACAGAAAAAGTTGTACATGAATGTTTGTAGCATCATTATTCATAATAGCTAAAAAGTAGAAACAATGCAAATGTCCATCAGCTAATAGATAGATAAAAAGTGGTATATATCCACACAGTGGAATACTATTCAGTAATAAAAAGAATGAAGTCCTAATACATGTTACAACATGGATGAACCTAAAAAACATTATACTAAGTCAAAGAGACCACATACTATATGATTCCATTTACACGAAATGTCTAAAATAGGCAAGTCTGTAGAGACAGAAAGTAGATTTCTGGTTGCCAGGGACTGAGAGGAGGGAGGAATAAGGAGTGGACAGCTCACAGGTATGGGGTTTCTTTGAGGGTTAATGAAAATGTTCAGGGATTAGATAGGGTGATGGTTGCACAATTTTGTGAATATACTAAAACCACTGAATTGTATAGTTTAAAATAGTGAACTTTATGGTATGTGAATTATATTTCGATAAAATAATGTTTAAGAAAAGTAGAATAGAATCTGTTAGCTATAAGACACTAGAATTAAAAAGAATATTTATAAGAAAATTAAAGTCTGACTTTTTACTGAATTCTTTAATTATATTTATGGATTTTAAGAGTAGATTTTGTTAAAGGGATGTGAATCAGGAAATTGTAAGTAACCCTGTAGCTATATTTCCACAGCCTCCCCCCTCATTTTTTAATGAAAAATGTGGACATTTTAAAACTGATATAGGAAACTTTGCTTCTGTTGTCAGTTTTTGGCTTTATATTTTTAATTATTTTTACTACTTTTAAATTTTTTATCCTTTTTAAAATGCTCAGTTATAATTCTAATGGCTTTCTGGCAGTTTTAAATGAGAGTATATACATATAGGCATGCATGTGTGTGCATGTGTGTTTTCTCAAGGAAGCTTCCATCTCTAGATCCCATTTTACAATGTGTAAATGCTTTAAGTATATTCTAGAATAATGTAAGCGGTATAAATGATCTCATTTTCCCCCTATATGATTTCCCTTTCCCCTGTACCATCCTCTTCCCACCCCTGGCTTTTTTTCTGCTCCAAAACATAAAATGGGCTTAGAGCATGATAACTTTTTAAAATTCTTTTTGTGAACATTTATGGAGCACCTACCGTATGTCAAGGCATTATGCTAGGATTAAAGATGCATAAATTAAATACCTGGTTCCAGACAGATAAAATAATACATCTTAGAGCTATTCTGGGAACAGTTAGGAGGGCACTTAACCTAGATAAGGATGGTCAGGCAGGACTTCCTTTTACTGTCAATATAATTAGAGGGTTGATCTTCTTTGAAATCAAGTCCCATCAATTCTGCATTTTTAAAGAACTGTTGAAAGAAACTGTTGAAAGTATAGCTCATGCTTGGCTCTTAGCACATCCCATAATTATATAATCACAGGGGAAAAAAATCTTGAGAAAAGCAATAGGGATCTATTCCCAAGACAGGTGTATAGCCAAAAATCCAAAAATCATTTTTTACTTGGCATGAATATAAGCAGTACAGGTGTAAAGATGTTGAATGAAAGCTTGGTTTCTGCTTTCTTGACTGCTTAACATATTTAAAACGAAACCATCAGAGCTTTTAGGGGCTTTGCTTCCCCTAATAATATACCTGCTAGATTTTTTAAAATATCATTGCGAATGTAAAGGAATCCTATACCCATTGGTATTTTTAAAGAAACAAGCCTCCTTATTTGTGTTGCTTTCTTCAGGACTGTAGTGGTATAGCCGTATTGATTATTAAATATTAAAATACATCCTTACTGCTTTGTAAAGGGCTGCTGTTGAAAGCTGTACCCCTCCACAGCCTGGCCTCTCCCCCAGGAACTCTACCTCTGCAGCTGCCCCACAGCCCAACCATTAAAAGCTTATCTCTTTATCAAAAAGTCCCAAAACAATAAATGCTGGCGTGGATGCGGAGAGATAGGAACACTCATATACTCCTGGTGGGACTGCAAACCAGTGTGACCTCTGTGGACAGCAATGTGGAGCTACCTCAAAGAAATACAAGTAGATCTACCATTTGATCCAGCAATCCCATTACTGGGCATCTACCCAAAAGAGCAAAGACATTCTCTAAAAAAGACATCTGCATTCAAATGTTTACAGCAGCACAATTCACAATTGCAAAGATGTGGAAACAACCCAAGTGCCCACCAATACATGAGTGGATTAATAAAACATGGTGTATGTATACTATGGAGTACTATTCAGCTATAAGAAACAACGGTGATATAGCATCTCTTGTATTTTCCTGGATAGAGCTGGAACCCATTCTACTAAGTGAAGTAACCCAAGAATGGAAAAACAAGAACCACATGTACTCACCATCACATTGATTTCACTGATCAACACTTAAGTGCACATATAGGAATAACATTCACTGGGTATCAGGCAGGTAGGAAGGGGGGTGGAGGGGATGGATATATATATACATAATGAGTGCGATGCGCACCATCTGGGGGATGGACACGCTTGAAGCTCTGACTGGGGGGTGGGGAGGACAAGGGCAATATATGTAAACATTTGTACCCCCATAATATACTGAAATAAAAAAACTTTTTTAAAAAGCTTATCCCCAGGCATAGCAGGAGACCTTTAGGACCCTTGTTTGCTACTCTTGTATCCATACTGATGGCTGCTGCTTGGGCTATCATTATTGTTAAATAAGTTTGAATCTTACCCAGAATTTCTGACTGTTAGTGAAAATAAATCATTACTATTTATCAGTGTTTATGTTCTGTCATCTAGAGTATCAGATAGCACTAGCTCACCTGTGTTACTTATCTGTATAGAATCAACATTCAGAGTTTTATCATATTCTGAATAAGCCCAGAGTACCATTTCCTAAGCCACACTGCATTTTTTCTCTGTTTTTTTCAATGTTTAACAGTTTGACCTAAGTTTTATGTTCTCTTATTGTTCTTTTCAGTTCGCTTTGCACCTTACAGACCTCCAGATATCTCCCTGAAGCCTCTGCTCTTTGAAGTGCCCAGCATCACAACAGAGTCGGTGTTTGTTGGCCGGGATTGGGTTTTCCATGAAATAGATGCTCAACTTCAAAGTTCTAATGCCAGCGTGAACCAAGGAGTAGTGATTGTGGGAAACATTGGGTTCGGCAAAACTGCCATCGTCTCCAGACTGGTGGCCCTCAGCTGTCATGGTACAAGAATGAGACAGATCGCATCAGACAGCCCACATGCTTCCCCCAAACGTATGTATTCCCTTTTAAAGAACTCCCTGCTTTGTTGGCTCTGAAATTTTTTCTGACATATTCATATTAGGTCATATATCCTTTTATTTTCTGATCTGCAAAACCTGACCTGCATGTGAGGACTATTAATTCTGAGTTGAGAAAAAGAATGTGTAGTCCATTTACATCTAACCCACATATCCAACAGGCACCTAAGCATGACTGAAAAAACCTTTCGTGTTGAATAAAGTCAAATAAATTTTTAACTCTTCCCTGTTGCTGTGTGGCTGCTGGTCTGTCCTTTGGATAATGACTACAGCAATTGCCCATAGAGCCATTTGCATCTGTCACTGTTGAATTTTGCTCAGCCTGTGCCCAATTATTCTTGTTACTTGCCAACAGTCTGTTTGTGGCCCTCATTTCTTTGTTGTTGACATCAGTGTTGCACTGCTTGGACTTAAACTTCATTGTGGCCTTGAAAGATTTCTCCTGATTCTTTATGAAAAGATGCTGAGCTCTCATATGTATTCAGGCTTCTTTCATCACAAGCAGGGTGCAGCTTAATGATCACCAGCAGGATCTTATTATTTTTAAAACTGATATGGTATTTACTGTGTGCCAGACACTCTCTACATGCTTTACAAATATTAACCATCCAGTCCTCTTATCAACTCAGTGACATTTATCTTCATTTCATAGGTAAGTAATCTGAAGTTCAGAGAGGCTAAGTAGGTTCGCCCAGGTTTGACCGCCAATGAATGTTAAAACTAAGCAGTCTGGCTTCAGAGGCTATTCTCTCATCCGTTTTGCCATGCTGCCTCTCCTTATTGGTGAAATTCACTCAAGTAAAGAAAATAAATGGAAATGGATGTATGTTCTTCCTCTACATATTGTATGTATAGAACCAACCTAGCTGGTTTCTGATAGTTTTAAGAGAACAAAAAAGAGAAACTGTTGCTCTGCTAGTCCAAATCAATTATCCCACCACAAACTTTCAAACAGTAACCACCAGAAATGGTTACTTGAGATCATGGTCTAGCATAGTGCTATAAACTTAACAGGAACTCACTGAATACCCTCTAAACATCCTGGCGGCTTATTGAAACTAGTTAGCAGCCTTATATCATTAAGGAGGCAGATTTCCTCTGGTAAACTTATGGATGGTTAACATATGGAAAAAGAACTACTGTCTAGGAATAAAATTGGTTGAATCAAAATACTCTCTTTAGGCCGGGCGCGGTGGCTCACGCCTGTAATCCTAGCACCCTGGGAGGCCGAGGCAAGCGGATTGCTCGAGGTCAGGAGTTCGAAACCAGCCTGAGCAAGAGTGAGACCCCATCTCTACTATAAATAGAAAGAAATTCATTGGCCAACTAATATATATAGAAAAAATTAGCCGGGCATGGTGGCACATGCCTGTAGTCCCAGCTACTTGGGAAGCTGAGGCAGGAGGATTGCTTGAGCCCAGGAGTTTGAGGTTGCTGTGAGCTAGGCTAACGCCACGGCACTCACTCTAGCCTGGGCAACAAAGTGAGACTCTGTCTCAAAAAAATAAAAAATAAAAAATAAAAAAATAAAAAAATACTCTCTTTACCAGGATATGGTAAGAATTGGTGTAGGTACAAGAGAATTATTTACATAAAAGGAATATCATGCTTAGTTCTTAAATGAAGCTCTTAGGAGGTAGAGTGGCATAATATTGTGGAAATCAAGAGCCCAGTGATTGTGCCCCAACACTCAAATTGACTATACTTTGTGAACTTGAGATTTCTGTTTAATTCTTTACCCCTCACTTTTCTCATCTGTAAAATGAAGTAATATGACTACTTGAAGTAATTTAACTAGTTGATCTTTAAGATTTGTTTGTGTACTAAAATTTTGATTCTAAGAACATATCTTCATGGTTGAAAGTAACTCTCCACACCTATTCCAGTATTTTCCTTGAGTACCTATCACACCAAACTACTTCTTATCTGAGTAGTCCAAAAGGCTAACTATTTGAGTGTGTCAGAAAGAAAACCAGATAGCTAATAGTCCCATCTGACTCCTCTGTATATCACTGTTGCAGATAACAGAGTGGTAGAATCATGCATGACAGAAGATAAATCCCAAGGGCAAGAAGAGCTGCTTTCTCAGAAAGCAAAGGTACCTGGGCATCCCCCCATAAGCCTGGGAGAGCAAGAATTAATAGAAAACAGCTCATGTGCTCCCAAAACCAGAGATTCTTAAAGGTAGTTTGTTAAGTTATTCTTTAACATCATTGCCTTCTATCTCCTGAGAGTCTCTAAAAACACTGGGACACTTCTCATTCATGAGATAAATGTCCATTGTTAAGACTATAGATTTGGCCTGCTAGTTAATTTTTAAAACTTGAAAAGGAGTTGGGGGTAGAGAGCTAGAGTATGTGGTTATGTATCTAGCAGAATTACTCAGAATCAATGTTGCCTTCTACAGAGTTTAACTCATACTAAGCTTGCATAAGTTTGTTTGGAATCTCACTGGTGTTCTTAATCCTTAGTCAATGATACCAATAACATAGTTGTAGTAGTAATGAAAATAAATGGAAAATTATTAGAGTTTCCAACTTCTCTGTCTACATCATCTGCTGTTCTTTCTTCTATCCCTGCCTCCTCCATGCTGAGCAGTACTGCTGTGGAAGATGTGAGCAGTTTAGCCTCAGTATTGCATCACTTGGCTCTCCTTCTCCCACAGACACTTAACACCCCCCTCAGCCCGCCCCCTCCTTGTCATTTCCCTGGGAAGGTACAGAAAAGCTGTCAAGGCAGGCACTAGCCTGTCATCCTGCTTTCCGCCTACTTTCCCAAACCTGACTCCCCCATCAGTCTCCACCATCACCCACCCCCTATAACACACACATCCTAAGAACAAAAATATTTTGTGAAAATAGACCTGTTGTGTAATCCACGCATTATTACATTAACTACAGGTATACTTGGTACAATAGTTATCAAAGCTCTGTCTAATATAAGACTTTATATTCCTATCACTAAAAGTCTCAATGTAGTTATCATTTGGATTTGACATCTGCCAATAACTGCCAAGCCCCCAAACAGCTGTTAAGTAACCCCTACCCTCCTTACTCTGCTCATTTCAGAAGTCTGTTTTGCCAGTTTGCTGTGCACATTGATTATTGCCTACCTATCAACTTATTTCTACTATTCTCTTTTCAAACAGAAAGTAAGACATTTGGACAAAAAGGAGGGCATCTCCAAAAGGGAAAAGCTTATTTGAACAGTACCCACAAAATCAAATACCAGAGAAAAGGAAATGGAGTAGGGAGAGGCAGTAAACAGCAGAAATAAGACGGTGACAATCACTGAACTTTACTTCAACTCAAAATGTCATAAATTTCTGTAGGCTTTTTTCACTGCTGTCTCCCATGCACACTCCCCTGCAGTTATTCAGAACTCAAGGAATTTACTCCACCAGTTGGATAGAAGAAGTCTAAATTCACTCCTTCTGGTAGAGAGTTAAATGAGATCTACCTTCCCCTATTATGCTTTCTTTTCAATAGCTATTGGCCATCAGAGAACAATTTCAAATATTTATTTTGGTACCCATTTTTAAAGTATGATCTTATTCATAAATGTAGTTTATAATTGCTAGTCATAGGTAAGAAATAGAATGATATTTATTCTAAATATCAGGAACAGATTTTTTAAACAAATTTTAAATAGCTTTATTGAGCTGTAATTCACATACTATACAATTCACCCATTTAAAGTGTTCAGTATCTTTAGTATAATTCACAGGATTATACAGCAATCATCATAATCTAATATTAGATTCCTTTTGTCCCCCTAAAAGAAACCCATGTCTATTAGCAGTTAATCCCCATTCTCTTCCTTACCCCCCTCTTTAGCCCTAGGTAACCATTAATTACTTTCTGTTTTATGGATTTCCCTATTCTGGGAATTTATAGAATCATATACTATGTGGTCTTTTTTTGACTGACTTCTTTGACTTAGCTACAACAATTACATGTTGTAGCATGTATCAGTATCTCATTTCTTTTTATTGTTGAGTATAAACAATGGATCCTTTATATGGATCCATACCACATTTATCCATTCATCAGCTGATGGATTTGGGGTTGTTTCCATTTTTTGGCTGTGATGAATCATGCTTCTATGATCATTTATGTACGAGTTTTTGTGTGGACGTGTGTTTTTATTTCTTTTGGATATATATCTAAGAGTGGAATTGCTGGATATAAAACAAATGGAATTTAATCTTCCTTTAATTCAGAGTTTTATGATTATTTGATGCATACTTCTCTTTTTAATCCAGATGTGGATGCCAACAGAGAGCTGCCACTCACACAGCCACCATCAGCCCACTCATCTATCACCAGTGGAAGCTGCCCAGGAACACCAGAAATGCGCAGGCGGCAGGAGGAGGCTATGCGAAGACTAGCTTCACAGGTACAATAGGATTCCCAAGTTGTGGGCATGCTAGTTCCATTTTAACATTAAGGAGACAAAGGTAGGGAGATCCTTGGCTAAGTGAACAGAAATATGTAAAGGTATATACCATGAGCACACAGAGAAAAGTTTCTCTTTGCTCTTCCTAGAAAAATATTATGATTGGATCAGAGCCTTAGAGCTGGAGAGACCCTTGGAAATAAAGTCCTCTAGTGAATAGACAAGGAAGTTGAAATTCAAAGTAGTGATATGGTTTACCCATTGTCACAGTATAAGTAATCCATAGTTTTAAATTTTCATTCCTAAATCAAACTCTTCCTGCTATACTATACTGTCCATAATATTCTTTATACGTTTGGGTTTGAAATTTATTTTTCTCAAAGTAACATATGCACATAGAAAAATCAAATAATGCTTAGATCCAGCAATTCGGAACTTTAAAAAAATGGTGGACTAGAAGCAGCCTGCAAGCATGCCACCTCGAAGGAAAGAAGTGAAAAATGCAAGCAGCTGCCTACATATGGATCACTCTTCTCTGAGCCAACATTGTGAAATCACAGAGAAGCAACATGGGACACACTGAGTAGGGAGAAAAAAAGGTGCCAGGGCAATATATATAACAAGATCAGAGAACACATAGGGAAGAATCGGAGGATAGAGCACTAGGGCACCACACTCACCCTGCTAGCACTGTGTGAGTTGTGAGATGGCTCCCCAACTGCCACAGACCTCTACCTGGTCAGACTGGGAACCCGCCAGGAGTCTGTGCAGTCATTGCACCAGACATAGGTGTGGTGGGGTCGGGCAGCAGCTAAAGCCATCCTGAGCTCTCGGGTACATAGCGCCAGGTCCACACCAGGCTATGGAGGAGGGGACTAACTAATGGCTCCCCTGAGCCATACCCTGTGACTGGAAACCAAACACTTTTCCCCTACAGTGCAATGGGATCTGAGCATAGGAATTGGCTGGGGTGCAGCAGGCTCCAACCTGAGAGGCTTTGGGCAACTGCTTCAGCAGGTCCTAGGTAGAGAGGGAGAGCTCCATGGTCCCTGAGCCACTAGAACTGACCTCTTTCCACCTGACTTGGCATCCATGTGGTCCCTGAGGCTCCAGAAGTGCAAGACACTTGCTTGGCCCAACTCCACCCTCCAGGCCCCAACTGCCCTCCTACCAGCTCAGCTCTGACCCTGCCCTCCAGGTCAGATCAGCCCTGCTGCCTGCAAAGCCCTGCTCAGAAAGCCCTGCTTTGGGCTCCTTCCCAGTCCTGGCTCTGAGGCTCTCACAGAAGAGCCCAAGGCTCTGCCTCTGTGCCTCCAGAGGTCCTGCCAGGCCTGAGACATCATTCCCAAGACTCCAGTGCTACACCTAGACTCCAAAACCCTACCCCAAAACCTCCACCACCACCGCAGGGCCAGAGGAACTGCTCCAAAGTCCAACATTCCACCAGGGACACCCCAGCCTTGAGCCACCAATACACTGCAACCTAGTTTGAGCGAATACTCACAGCCTGGGAACCCCCTACAACTGTTCCAGATCTCCCAGCAAGGAACCGATGCCCTGCAAACCTGTGAGCCCTAAGTTGAGAAAAGTGGTTTCAGATGAGAAGAAATCAGCAAAAGAACCCTGGCAAGATGAAAAATTAAAACAGAGCAACACCCTCAAGGGAGCTATAGCAGTGAGCTCCAATTACAAGGAAATTGTTGAAATGACAGAAATGAAATTCAGAATATGGATGGCAAATAAGATGAATGGAGTTGAAGAGAAAGTTGAAACCAACAAAAAGAAGCCAAAAAAAGATTTCAGGAAATTAATGAAAAAGCCACCAAAGAAGTAGATAACATAAGGAAGGATATAATTGAACTTAAGGAAACAAAAGAGTCATTAAGGGAATTTCAAAACACAGCAGAAAGTTTTAACAACAGATTAAACCAAGGAGAAGAATGACTCTCAGAGCTTGAAGACAAGGCTCTCAAGCTAACCCAATCATTTAAAGAGGCAGAGAAGAGAACAAAAAAAGGCAGAGTAATCACTTAGATATGGGACTATGCAAAGTGAACTAACATACAAATTATAGGTAAGCATGGAAAAATCTATTCAGGGTAATTATTGAGGAAAACTTCCCCGGTATCTCCAGAGATCCAGACATCCAGATACAAGATGATCATAGGATACCAGGAAGATTCATAGCAAATAGGACATCTCTATGACACATAGTAATCAAGCTGGCCAAAGTCAAAATGAGAGAGAAAATTCTATAAGCAGCTAGATGTAAGCAACAATTGACCTACAAGGGAAAACCCATCAGGCAAACAGCAGACTTCTCAGCAGAAACCTTACAAGCCAAAAGGGAGTGGGCCCCCATCTTCAGTCTTCTTAACAGAATAACTACCTGCCTAGAATTTTGTATCCTGCAAAAGCAAGGATCACAGTTGATGGAGAAATTAAGTCCTTTCCAGACAAGCAAACATTGAGGGAATTTGTCATGACCAGATCTGCATTGCAGGACATACTCAGAACTGCATTATACACAAATCAGCACAGTAGATACCCACCAGGGCAAAATCACCCAAAACAGCCAAAGCTCACAACTCCTATAAAACAATAGCACAAGAATAAAAACAAAGCAATAAGGTATTACCCAGTATGATGAACAGAACAGCATCACACATATCAATCGATTATCTCTCTTAACATGAATGGCTTTAACATGCCACTCAAAAGACATGGGCTGGTTGAATGGGTAAAAAAACACAACCCAAGTATCAAGAGACACATTTAAACCACAAGGATGAAAAAAGGCTCAAAGTGAAAGGATGGAAAACAATATTTCACAGAAATGGAAACCAAAAGAGAGCAAGTGTAGCCATTCTCATATCAGACAAACTGACTTTAAATCAACAAAGACAAAGATGGTCATTATATAATGGTTAAAGGAGCAATTCAACAAGAAAACATATAATGATCATAAATATTACATGCATTTAACACAAGAGTTCCCAGGAACATAAAATAAATTCTACTAGAACTAAGCAATGAAATAAATAGTAACAGTGTAATTGCTGGGGACTTCAACATCCCACTATCAGAACTAGACATATCATCAAAGTAAAAAATAAATAAACAATGGACTTAAATGAGACCCTAGAACAAATGGACCTAACATATTTATAAAATGTTCTACCCAAAAACTACTCAATATACATTCTTATGATTAGCACATTGGACATTCTCCAAGACTGATCAATCTTAGACCACAAAACATATCTCAACAAATTTTAAAAAATCAAAATCATACTATGTGTCTTCTCAGACCATAATGGATTAAAATTAGAAATCAATTGTAAGAATAACACTCAATTATATGCAAAGTCATGGAAATTAAATAACCTGCTGCTGAACAATTATTGGATCAATAATGAAATTAAGATGGAAATCAAAAGATTCCTTGAATGAGAAAGGGGACACAAGCTATCAAAATCTATGGGATTTAGCAAAAGCATTCCTAATAGAAAATTCATAGGCTTAAGTGCCCATGTCCAAAAGTCAGGAAGATCACAAATTAACAACCTAATATCACATCTCAAGGAACTAAAAAAGGATTAGCAAAACAAACCCAAAGCCAGCAGAAGAAAACAAATAATAACAAAGGTAAGAGCAGAACTAAATGAAGTGGAAAATTAAAAAATAAGTGAAACAGTGAAACAAAAAGTTGGTTCTTTGAGGAGATAAATAAGATTGGTAGACCTCTTGCTAGATTAACCAGGAATAGGAGAGAAAGGACCCAAATAAACTCAACGAGAAATGCAAAAGGGGATACCACAACTGATAGAAAGTAGAAACATCATCTGTGAACACTGTGAAAATCTCTACACACACAAACTAAAAACTATAGAGGAAATGGACAAATTCCTGGAAACCCACAATCTCCTAAAACTCAGTCAGGAAGAAATAGAACTCCTGAACAGACCAAAAATGAGCAGTGAGATTGAAGTAATAATAAAAAGACGTTCAACAAAAAAATACTCTGGGAGCTCCTGTGTTAGGTGCAGATGGATTCACAGCCAAATTCTACCAGATCTACAAAGAAGAACTGGTACCCACACTGCAGAAATTATTCCATAACACCAAGGAGGGAATCCTCCCCAACTCATTCTATGAAGCCGGTATCACCTTAATACCAAAGCCAGCTAAGGACACACAAAAAATGAAAACTATAGACCAATATTTCTTATGAATGTAGATGTAAAAATCCTCAATAAAATACTAGCAAATCAAATTCAAGAACACATCAAAAAAATAATCCACTAGGACCAAGCAGGCTTCATCATAGGGATGAAAGGATGGTTCAACATGTAAATCAATAAATGTGATTCACCATATAAACAAAAACAAAAACAAAGACCATATGATCCTCTCAATATATTCAGAGAAAACATTCAATAAAATCCAGCACTCTCTTGTGATAAAAACCCTCAACAAACTAGTTATAGAAGGAACATATCTCAGAATTATAAAAGCCATGTATGACAGACCCACAGCCAGTATCATACTGAACATGGAAAAGTTGAAAGCACTCCCCTTAAGAACTGGCACAAGACAAGGATGCCCATTGCCACCACTCCTATTCAACATAGTACTGGAAGTCGTAGCCAGCACAGTCAGGCAAGAGAAGAATATTAAGGGTATCCAAATTGGGAAAGAAGAAATCAAACTATCACTCTTCACTGATGATATGATCTTGTATCTAAAAAACCCCAAAGATTCCACCAAGAGTCTCCCGGAATTGATAACTGTTAATAAATTCAGCAGAGTCTCAGGATACAAAACCAACAAAATCAGTGTACATAAATCAGCATTTCTATATACTAATATTAATAATCAAGCTGAGAATCAAATCAAAGTCTCAATACTATTCACAATGACTATTAAAAAAAATAAAATACCTAGGAATATACTTAACCAAGGAGGGGAAACATCTCTACAAGGAGAACTACAAAACTCTGAGGAAAGAAATCATAGAGGATACAAATAAATGGAAAAGTATATCATGCTCATGGATAGGTAGAATCAATGTTGTTAAAATGTCCATACTACCCAGAATGATTTACAGTTTCAGCACCATCCCCATCAAGTTACCAAAGTCATACTTCACAAATCTAGAAAAAATAATTCTACATTTTAGAACCAGAAGAGAGCTCAAATAGCCAAAGCAATCTTAAGCAAAATGAACAAATCTGGAGGTATCACATTACCAGACTTAACTATACTACAAGGCTATAGCAACCCAAACAGAATGTTATTGGTATAAAAATAGAGACATAGACCAATGGAACCGAACAGAGAACCCAGACACAAAACCATCTCCCTACATCCAACTGATCTTTGACAAGCAGACAGCAATGTACACTGGGGAAAAGAAGTGCTATTCAATAAATGGTGCTGGGAAATTGGACAGCCACATGCAGAATAAAGAAACAGGACCCCTACTTCTTACCACTCACAAAAATTAATTCAAGATGGACAAAAGACTTAGATCTAAGGCATGAAACCATAAGCATTCTACAGGAAAATGTAGGGAAAACTCTTGGCATAGGCAAAGAATTTATGAAAAAGATCCCACTGGCAATCATGACAACAAAAACTAATAAATGGGATTTGATTAAACTAAAAAGCTTAGTAAAAACCAAACTTAAGAGTTGGAAGGGTTGTGCTGATTAGGAAATCATTGAGATGATGTGAGGATAAGATGTTCTCAGAAGTGATAAAAGGGAAGCAAGGAATAAGAGTATAAGGGCAAACCTGAGGGAAGGGCAATTGTAACATTATAGTTTGTTTAAATGATGTAAATACCAGTCAGTATGTAAATTAGATTTTTATGTCCACATGAATTTCAGATATTCAAAACTACCTTTTATTTACCTAAGACTGGCTTAATCCTGTTACAGATTATTCATTTGAATTGAAGTAGAAAATGGTCTGTGGAAAGTGAAGGCCCATGACTTTTAACACAAGCTTGATAAATTTGCTGCCACTTAATCCCTTTGATGAGATTTATGATTAGTTTTGTCATTTCTCGGATACAACGTTAAATCAAAAGATTTTATATATAAGGCTAGACTGACCTCCAGTTTTTTCTTTGTCTATATAGTATACAGGCCTGCCCTTTTCCTCCTTCCCTCATAAGGCTAACCTAAAATTTACTTGTTTTCTTCTTCTGAAGAATTAATGCAATTCTGATCATATCAGATATACTTTGGATAAAATTGTTTTAACAAAAAGTTCAGAAATTTAACATAAGGAAGACCTGAGATGAAAAAATTAATAATATAAGAAAGATATAACTAAAAATAAAATTTAGACAAGTCATTGTGAGAGACAAGAATTCACCAAAGAAAAAGATTTTACTTGCTGATTTATTGGGAGTAGACTAATCCTGAACCATTTCCAAGAAGTTGTAATAATAGTGACTATGTATGGGTGGGCATGATGACTTCATCAATGATGAAGGGAATGATCTAGTATCTATCACTGAGCCTTGGTACAATAAGAGAGTAAAGGGGAAAAAAACCTACACTTCCAGACTTCTTGTTGTAGGTAATATTAATAGAAAATTTGGGGGAAGTACCAAATGTTGGTGACAGATTGTATGTACATATACATACTAAATAGCTACTTTGAAATGTCTAGTAAATAACCTATTTTGAGCCACAGTACAAATCTTGTGAAGACAGTGAATGGTTTTTCTACCTGAATTCTACAAAGTAATCAAGACTTTATATTTGGAATGCCAAAGAAGAATTTTAAATTAAAAGTAAGAAAGGCAGCCACAGAAGGTGCAACTTCAGCATTGACCTTTGTTAGAAGAAACTTTATTCAGCCAAGAGCACAGATGATTTTTAATGTAATCAGTAAAAGAACTTTTTCTAAATTTCAGAATTTTTGTCTTTAAAATGTTACTCTATTTCTTTAAGTAAAAGGTAAGTTATAGTTGATTTGTTTAGCTCTTCTTAGCCTCAACATATGGAATCAATTGAAGTGAAATATGATGAAAGTTCATATTGATTCCAAGGTTTGTTACTTGCTTTTTATCAAGTGGAGATTTATACCTATGTAGGCGTAGCTGCTGACATTCACTGTTCATTGAGAGGACAGATCAGTTGTTGACTAGTTTTCTCTTTGGATTCCTTACATTACATTTAAGATAGATGATAAAGCAATGACTGATCTATCTAAAGAAAAGAGTGGAGACTTTAAAAATTCAACCTCTGATTTTCAGTTTCCATATAGTACTCAGACTTCATTGCTTCACTCACAAGCAGTTCCTGTCTTCAACTTATATAGCAATATTTCCTATGTAGTTTGATTTTTCTTTTTATGTTTAATGAGAATGGTTTTAGGTGTTTTTTTAAAAAAAAGTTGACATTTTCAGCATGTGTTACAAGAGCTAGGATGACCATACGCATAGATTAAGCAGAACTTTTTAGTGGATGACTGTTCTCTAGAGATGACTGAAGAGCTGGAATCCCAGTTGTATATCCACAAATGCCCCTAGGACAAATTTGAGATGCCTGTACGCACAAAGCTAATAGCTAAAAAAGGTAGAGTATACAGATCCTTGAGGACCGTAATGAAGATAGGTGAGGATATGGAGGATAAAGATGATGATGATGGTAATGACACTGTCAGCTGATGTTACTGGGTACTTATTATGTGCTGAGGACCATGCCAAGTGCTTCATATACATTCAAGCTGAATGTCTCCTGACATTTTCATATTTTCTACACAATTCCATCACTTTTCTGAGTAGTAATAAGCCAGAAGAGTGGTCTAGATTAAAATCACCATCTGCACTTGCCCTTGAGGCAAAGAAAACGAGAAGATATATGGAGTGAGCACTCTGCAGAAACAAAACAACACCCTAAAACTTCAAATTCTAGCCAGGTAGCCCAGACTCTAGATGGTATTTAAGACTCATAAATATTCTAAGTTCTTTGAATTTAAGACCTACATCTAACAAAATCTCACCCCTTTCCTTCTTCCTTTTATCTAATTCTGATTCTGATATTCCATCTCTGGGTGCTCAGAAAACATTTAATTCTGATTTTTAAATCTGAATTATTTTATTTTTATAAGGCTTAGTTTATAACACAACTGTAATCAAGAACATGATGAAAGCATATGTGTGTTGAGATTAATTTGATTTTTCTCTGATTATTTTATTCCTAATGTTTTGTTACAAGTTTAGACTCTTTACTGTTTCATGCCAAATAAATCTTATCAGTGTTAATGTAAATCTTCACTCTCAGACTTGTTTCCTATTTTTTATAATCTATAGGGAAAACTCAATTTTTGCTTACAAATTTTAATTCTGGGTTATAATATCATATGTGTACAATAGAAACAATATATCAAATTTCTGATCTTTCATAAATCAGGCAGTTTCTGACTTAGGAACTTTTGTATTTACTTGAAAAGTTGAGGAATGGAGAGATACAAGACAGTATTGGTGGGGCACAGTGGCTCACGCCTGTAATCTTAGCACTTTGGAAGGCTGAGGCAGGAGGATTGCTTGAGGCCAGAAGTTCAAGATCAGCCTATGCAAGAGCAAGACCCCATCTCTACCAAAAAAAAAAAAAAAAAAATTGGCCAACTAATATATATAGAAAAAATTAGCCAATTAATTTCTGTGGTCCCCACTACTTGAGAGACTGAGGCAGGAGCTTCTCTTGAGCCCAGGAATTTGAGGTTACAGTGAGCTATGATGATATCACTGCACTCTAGCCCAGGTAACAGAGCAAGAGCCTGTCCCAAAAAAAAAAAAAAAAGACAGTATTACAGAATGATCATTTAATAACCATAGCTATTGCTCCTGTCTATATTCTCACCTTTCTTTTGTAGGTGGTTGCCTATCACTATTGCCAAGCAGATAATGCCTACACCTGCTTGGTACCAGAATTTGTCCACAATGTTGCTGCCCTGCTCTGCCGCTCACCTCAGCTGACAGCCTATCGGGAGCAACTTCTTCGAGAGCCTCACCTGCAGAGCATGCTGAGCCTGCGGTCCTGTGTTCAAGACCCCATGGCCTCCTTCCGGAGAGGAGTCCTGGAGCCCCTGGAGAATCTCCACAAAGGTACAGATAAGGTTCAAAGGAAGTGAAAATGGAGGCTTTAGAGCTCAAAGTCACCTTGGTCATGCTATAGAAATGATTATTTTTATCACATTGCCAAAATTGAATGTTCCATACCTGATGTCCTGTAGGATACAGTTAACAGATAAAAGATTTTACTTATGGGGAAAAAACAAAATTCCTGCATTAACTGCTACTTCCTCCTTTCTTTATATAAATTCTCATTCTCATTTCTAAATATAATACATTTTTTTGGACTAAAGGTAGAAAAGCTTTCAGTCCTTTCTGCGGAGTTCAAATAAGTCAGTAATGTTACGGCTCCAACTCAGTGTTATGGAGTTTCTATGCTTAGAATCTCCCCAGTCTTTACGTAATACCTATTATCACATCAGTTCAGATAAAGTGGAATGGCATCCAGGGTTGCACAACCCTGTGTATGTACTAGAAATCACTTAATTCTACACTCTAAAAGATATTTCCAAGGTATAAGGATATTTTATGGTACATAAATTATATCTCAGGAAAGCTGTTATTTTTAAAAAGTGGAAAAAAATTAAATGGAAACCATCTCCTACTCATATTCATGCCTTTCCTCCCTTTTTCCTCTGCAATTCTAGTGTCAGCTGTGGCCTAAGTGCAACCATTTTCCTAAAGATGGTGCATGCCTTCATGAGTCTTTCTGCTCCCATACCCTTAACAGTGTTTGTCAGTGCTGGAATCCAAAAAGGGTTTGAGTGAGCATGAGATTCCTGAGCAATCATGCTTATTCCTGAGAGACTTATATACCTTTCTCAAGGGTTTTAGAAGTACATATAAGATAAAGGTGATTATAATTTCTCCTGGCCATCCTCTGCAGTTATTTCAGCTTTCATGCTGGTTCTTTGGATATCAAAATTTCTCTTTTCCTCAACTCTGATGACCTCTGTCTCTATCTCTGCTACCTATTACCTTGACTATACTCTAAACCTGTTTAAACCTTGGAGTTTCTCCACAAGTATTGCTAAGCATATTTCCCGTACAGTCAGTCAATCTCTAAAACTTATTAATCCTTCCTGATGTTTCTCACATCCATCTCATATATATTTCTACCATTATTATCCCAAGAGCTATTCAACTGCCCATGACATCACATCTTACAACCCCTTCCTGGTCTTATGTGGTTCTCTGGTTTAATGTTTCTTTCACATCATAACACACTTAGAAAAGTATAAAAATTTGTATAGCATACTAGGATAAAAATGTATGACTATGGCTGAAAGAGACTAGCCCTGAGGCTACAGGAGGCCTCAGATGTCCTGAGGGCTGAATTTTAAGCACACCTCTAACCCATTCACGGCATGCCTGGTTGGGTAGCTCCGTCCAGTCTCTCCAGTCTTCCAGATAGTTTCATAAAGCATATTTCTCTGGTCACTTAATTTCCCAGTTGAGAATCCAACGATTTCTTATTGCCTACTGAATTAACTTCTAGCTCTTTAATCAAATACTCAAGATACTTGACGACCAGCATGTAACCTACTTTCAACCTTATTATTCACTTTTATCCTTATGTACCCTATGTTTAAAAATGGCTGCAAATTCTTTGGCATTATTTCCATTGAGAGTTGAGGTGTGTGTCTCCTCCTCTTATATCTGGGCGGACTTATGCCTGCTTTAACCAGTAAAACTACAAAGTGATGCTATGTGACATCTGAGGCTAGATCATACATAGCTATGCAATTTCCATCTTGTCCACTGAAACACTTGCATTTGGAGGCACGTGTTGCCATGTAAAAAGTCTGACTGTCCTTGGGCAGTCTGAGGAACTGTCCCAGTCTTCTTTAAGTCATTCCAGATGACACTAAACATGTCAGTGAAGAAGCCTCTAAATGATTCCAACTTCCAACCCCCAACCTCAGCCATTCAAGTAACCCCTGTTTTCAGTAGCATCAAAAAAACATATTCATACTACTTAAGAATAAATTTTTTAAAAGATGTGTAAGAGCTCCATAGTGAAAGAACAGTGAAAACATTGCAAAGTGAAATTAAAGAATTTAGTAAATGGGCTGGGCACAGTGGCTCATGCCTATAATCCTAGTACTCTGGGAGGCCAACGTGGGAGCATTGCTTGAGCTCTGGAGTTCAAGACCAGCCTGAGCAAGAGCGAGAGCAAGACCCCATCTCTACTAAAAGTATAAAAATTAGCCAGGCATTGTGGTATGTGCCTGTAGTCTCAGCTGCTCAGGAGGCTGAGGCAGGAGGATCACTTGTGCCTAGGAGTTTGAGGTTACTGTGAGCTAGGCTGACACCACGGCACTCTACTAAGTCAGACTCTGTCTCATAAAAAAAGAATTTAGTAAATGGAAGAGATATGCCATAAATGTGGATTGGAAAATATCAGTATTTCCTCAAACTGGTTTATAAATTCAACATAATCCCAGTCAAAATCCCAGCAGGACTTTTCTGTAAAAATTGACAACTTTTAGAAATTCAAAGGACTAGAAACAACCTAAATAATCTTGAAAAAGAAGAAAGTTGGAATACTGGCAATATCTGGTTTCAAGACTTAACAGTATTACATATTACTATAATAATCATGATAGTGATGTGCTAGTAAATGTTTAACAACCAGGTCAGGGGTGGGATCTGATTTGATGCTTAAAAATTTAGCAGTCAGCTCTCGTGAGTCAGTTTGAGTCAGCTTTAACACTCCACTAACAGGGTGATGATATTCATGCAAGGATAGAAAATAGATCAATGGAAGAGAATGGAGAATCCAGAAATAGACCCACCCATTATACAGCCAGTTAATCATCTCAAAGGTGCCAAGACAATTAGGAAAGAGAATTCTGTCATCAAATGGTACTGGAACAACTGGATAAATGTATGGGGCAAAAATGAATCTCAATCCTTACCTCACACCATACACAAAAATTAATTTGAGATGGATCACAGATCCAAATAGAAGAGTTTTATCTCTGAAGCTAATAGACAAAACATAGAATATCTTTACAAACTTTGAGTAGGTTAAAATTTCTTAGGACATAAAACTCACTAATTATATAAGAAAAAGGTGATAAATTAGGCTTCATCAAAATTGAAAATGTCTGCTCAACAGAAAACACCACTAAGAAAAAGCAGGTCACAAAAGGTGAGAAAATATACTCACTTTGCATGCGTGCTCACGCACGTGTGTGTATGTGTGTGTGTGTAAGAAACACAAAGCACTTATATCTACAATAACTATAGGATGCAAACAATCCAATTTTTTAATTGACAAGATTTAGACACTTCACAAAAGAAGATATACTAATAGCCTAGAAGCACATGAAAAAGTGTTTAACATCATTAGTAGTCAGGGAGATGCAAATTAAAATTACAATGAGATACCACTTCACACCCATTAGAATGATTAAATTTTAAAAGATTGAACATCAAGTGTTGGTGAGGATGATAAACAACTTGAACTCTCATACATTGCTGGTAGGACTATAATAACTATATTGGAAAACTATTTGGCACTTTCTTATAAAGTTAAATATATATTTATGTTATAACCAAGCAATTCTATTCTTGTTTTTATAAAAGAGAAATGAAAACATACGTCTAGAAAAAGACTTGTACAAGAACATTTCTAGCAGCTTTATTCGTAGCAGTCAAAAATTGGAAACAACCCAAATGTCCAGCAACAGAATGGATAAACAAATTGTAGTATAGTCATTCGATGGAATACTTCTTAGTAATAAATAGGAACAAAATAATAATACAGTCAACAACATACATATGTCTCAGAAACATTATATGAAGCAAAAGAAGCTAGTCTGTGGTGATAAAAATAAGAACAGTGGTTGCCTGTTGAGGATTGACTGGAAGGGAACCTAAAGGAACTTTCTGATAGAAATGTTCCATATTTTGATCAGAGTATTGGTTACATGAGTACATATATTTGTCAAAACTCATCAAAGTGTACAGTTAAGATCTTTGCAATTCACTGTATATAAATTTTATTGCAATAATTTTTAAATATAGAATTTTTTAAAGGTAGCTGGAATTTTTTTTGTAGGGAAGCCCAATGGAAAACACTTTCAGAGTCAAAAACATGTTTTAGAGTCAAAAGCTAGATTTTAATTTTTACATTTTTCTTTAAAAAATGAGAGTCAAGGCTGGGCACAGTGGCTCACACCTGTAATTCCAGCACTTTGGGAAGATCTCTTGAGGGAGGAGTTCGAGACCAGCCTAGGCAACATAGCAAGACCCCATCTCTACAAAAAATTTTTAAAAATTAGCCAGGTATGGTATCCTGCGCCTATAGTCCTAGCTACTCAGGAGGCTGAGGTGAGAGTATCGCTTGAGCCCAGGAGTTTGAGGCAGCAGTGAGCTATGATGGCGCCACTGCACTCTAGCTTGGACAACAAAGCTTCCATAAGTCTAATGGTTAACACACACACATGTATGTACATATAAATCAAACTGAATAAATTTTAAAGTCTCTCAGTGGGTTTTTGCTTCAGCTACCAATATGAAATGAAAGGAGACACTAATTTTTTTATCACAATTAAAAGAAAATAATTCAAATGTAATGTAAAGCTTTTCTTAGTAAAAATGTGTTCTGATAAGAGTCTTCTTTTCACTTTTAATCATTTCCATACAATACACTAGTAATAGAGTCTGGTGGCACTGGGATTCAGTTCTGACTTTAATAGTAGCTACCATCTCTTCTCTTGCAGTCTCTGTAGTTCTTATTTTCTCTGAGGCACCTAAATAGAGTATTAGAATGGAACTGCTAAGGAAGACAGTTCAAGTATAATATTTGTTAAGGATACATGTAAATGGAAGCAGTGGCGAGTCCCTGGTGAATGTATATTTACAAGGGATTAAAAGCAAAGGTTAGAGGATTTTCCAGTGACTTGTCAGCTAGAGTAATGGCTCCTAAGCACTAGTCCATTTAAAGTTTTCAATTAGTCTATATCAAAATAAGAAAATAGAAACAGCCTAGAATTTGTGTGTATGTAGATATAATGTAGTTTTACATATATATGTATGTAAAGGTGATGTACCTCCTACTTTTTTAAATGTTAAAATATTTTCTTTTGGCCAGGCATGGTGGCTCACACCTGTAATCCTGGAGGCCTAGGCTGGCAGATCATTTGAGCTCAGGAGTTTGAGACCAGCCTGAGCAAGAGTGAGACCCCCATCTCTACTTAAAAAAAAAAAAGAAAGAAAGAAAGAAATTAGCTGGACAGCTAAAAATATGTATATAAAAAATTTGCCAGGCATGGTGGCACATGCCTGTAGTCCCAGCTACTTGGGAGGCTGAGGCAGGAGGATCACTTGAGGCCAGGAGTTTGAGGTTGCTGTGAGCTATGGTAACACCATGGCATTCTAGCCTGGGCAACAGAGTAAGATTCTGTCTCAAAAAAAAAAAAATACTTTTTTTCTATGAAACGATGGTGATAACGGATAATTGTATTTTAAATGTTGTTACATGGAAAAATATAAATAGCAATCCTGTGTTAGTCCCTAATTTTTTTTTAATTTTCACTTGTAAAATTCTTTAAAAGCTACTGAGAGTATTTAAATAATCTACAGAAGTTTGAAAATGAACATACAGAGGCATTCTTATAAGGCTGGTTGCATTTGAAAGGCAAAGTTTAAAGATCATTAAAGTCTCACCTCTTGAATTTGTAATTGAGAAACCTCATCAAAGGAAAAGGAATTATGTTAGGAGTAGTTCTCATTGTTTTACAATATTAGTAGCATTAGAAGATTCTTTGCATTTATTATTCTGAATTCTAAAAAATGTGATATCCTCAGGTAGATATGCCATCCTTCCTAAATGATGAAATATTTGTTGACACCTCTTATCACCTACAGTAATAGGAGACTTGTAAATAATTCCTTCAAAGGAGGTGAATCTCAGAAAAAAAAAAAAAGCCAGGATTAATAAGAATATAATTATCTTGATTAAGGGGGCAAATATTCCCTTTTAAAAAAATGATATATTACCTACTTTACTCATGGGATGAATAATATCTATATAATAATCTAATATAATAATCTACTAGGAATTTATGCAAATGAAAATTTAATTTTATTAGCAAATGAATTATTCATTCATAAAATGTTTAGAACATAATTGAGTACACATTCTTGATGTGTACTTATGGCTTTATTATTCCATGGCTTGAGAATGTGTTTGAAATGTGTTGCCCAAAGAAAATCTGAATAGACAGATGCATTATCATCAGCCTTTTTCTCCACTTGAAGATTATGGCTTCTTTATGAAGGAACCTGGGTGAAGGTAACGGAGATGTAATTGAACAGTGGGCAACAGTGTGTTAGTATGTTTTAACAGCCACCTGGGAGAGGAGGGCTGATGTGTAACATTTGCCAGTTTCTATTGTGTATATATTCCCACCATAGCCAATTTCAAGCTATCAGCTGTTTAACAACTAGCTTTTGAAAATACCGTAGTGGACTCTCCTGAATCAGTACAGGATAGCTCCAGAACACCACTGGATGGTACTAGGTGATGGTGCTCAGCCAAGCAGAATGCAATTACAAAGTTCCTCTATGGACATTAAAGGCACAATTAAGCTCAAGAGAGCCAGAATCCTCAAAATCAAGAACATAACAGCCCCCAGTTGTTTGGGTAAATGCTAATTAGTTCCAAGCAGCTCTTCTCTCTTCCTTAACTCTTCCTTAATACTTTTGTTGGTTTGTTTGTTGGTTGGTTGGTTGGTTGGTTTTGGTTTTGTTTTTAGAGACAAGATCTCACTATGTTGCCTAGGCTGGTCTTGAACTTCTGGGCTCAAAGGATTGTCCCACCACAGCTTCCCACGTATCTGGGGTTGCAGGTGCATACCACCGTACCTAGCTATTCTTAATACTTTGGACTCCCTAGAACAATATTGTATTTTCTTAGTGCTGTATCATCTAGAATGCCATTTCATTAATAATCATTGTTAACAGTTTTAACTGGAATCCATAGTTCATTTTCTGCCTAAAGAGTTGCCAAATGGGCCAGGCGCAGTGGCTCACGCCTGTAATCCTAGCACTCTGGGAGGCCAAGATGGGCAGATTGCTCGAGGTCAGGAGTTTGAAACCAGCCTGAGCAAGAGTGAGACCCCGTCTCTACTATAAATAGAAAGAAATTAATTGGCCAACTAATATATATAGAAAAAATTAGCCAGCCATGGTGGCACATGCCTGTAGTCCCAGCTACTTGGGAGGCTGAGACAGAAGGATTGCTTGAGCCCAGGAGGTTGAGGTTGCTGTGAACTAGGCTGACACCATGGCACTCACTCTAGCCTGGGCAACAAAGTGAGACTCTGTCTCAAAAAAAAAAAAAGAGCTGCCAAATGAAAGTAATAGTTAAAACTCTTCATAATTCAAGAACTGACTTATAGTATTCAGGATATTGAAATTAAATTCCTTTACATAAACCTTGTGTTTAGGGGGAAAATATAAAGGCTTATTAATCATTGCAAAAGATCTGTATATTTTCAATTGTGAAACCAAAATAATATGTACAGTTTTGATTGGTCTTGACTTTTAAAGGCAAGGACAGCCAGTCTTGTACAGAAGTCCACAGACTTTTTGTCTGTCCCCAGCACCATCTTCTTTTTCCTCCTCAGATAAAACCTATTTCTCACTTCAAGTATCCAGTAACTTTCTATCCTCTTCCCTCTGCCTTCTTCCCTTTAGAACTGCAGTCCCCACCTCTAGGCATGGGGTTCCTTGCCTGTTAGGAACCTGGGCCACACAGCAGGAGGTAAGCAGCAGGCTAGCAAGCAAAGCTTCATCTGAATTTCCAGCTGCTCCCCAGCACGAGCATCAGCGCCTCAGCTTCACCTCAGATCAGGCCTTAGATTCTCATAAGGAGTGCACAACCTAGACCCTCACATGCACAGTTTACAGTAGGGTTCACACTCCTATGAGAATCTAATGCTGCCACTGATCTGACAGGAGGCGGAACTTATGCAGTGATGCGAGCAATGAGGAGCAGCCAGATGAATCTTTGCTTGCTACCCCACCGCTCACCTGGTGCTGTGCGGCCCAGGTGTTATAAGGCCATGGACTGGTATTGGTCTACAGCCTGGGAGGTGGGGACCTCAGGTCTAGGAAACTGCTAGGATCTCGGGATCTAGCCTGCCTCGTTCAGGTCTATCTATTTGGCTGAGATTCCTTTTCTCTGGTACTCCATCCCTTCCTTCCCACTACACATTCACATGTAGTCCTAAATACTGCTCTAGACTTTAAATTAGACCTTTTTTTGGGAAATCCCCATAAGAATATATGATACTATTCTCTTTAATGCTATAAGATAAAAAAAAAAAAAAACCAGAACACATTCTATTTTCTTTTCCATATGTAAAAGAAAAATGAATTTCCATGTGTAAATTTTCCTAACTCCAATGTTTAGGCTGTCTCACAACCATTAATGTGGGGATTTCTGAAAATGATGATATATATAGTCATATGTGACAAAAGCTTTCACATCTGATGAAAAGCAAAACGAATATACTCAATGAATTATTCCATGGCTTTATAATATTAATTATGTACCCTGAACATTCAGTAAACACATGAGAGGTCTTTTCTAATTTTTTTCCCAAACAGATATGTGATCAGAGACCCAGTAAGAAATTATCCACTTGGTAATTATTAAGTAATTTGTTTCTTTCTATCTCAGAGAGAAAAATTCCAGATGAAGATTTCATCATTTTAATTGATGGATTAAATGAAGCAGAATTTCACAAACCGGATTATGGGGATACAATTGTATCATTTCTGAGTAAAATGATTGGAAAATTTCCTTCTTGGCTCAAACTAATTGTAACAGTTAGGACCAGTTTACAGGTATGTGTTTGTTTGCTTTTAAACCATAAATTATTTCCCTTGGAAAGGACATAAACTGAAAAAGTTCTAGGTCACAGTTCCTTTAGTAACAATGCTTTCTAAACCTCTGCCATATCTTAGAGCATTAGCAATAATAATTCTGAAAGAATTGTTGCATTTTGAGAGTAAGAGATACAATCTAGAAAGAACATTCTCTGTCTGTGACTCTCAGATTCCCATTCCCATTGCCTTGGATGAGGTTTGATAAAATGTCCCTCAAAATAACATGAAAAGAGAGTCCACTTTTCTAGACTTTGTCCTGAGGACAACAGTACAAAGTAAGTCCCTAACACTTTGACTTTTGTTTCACTTTTATCATTTAATGCTATGCAAAATTCAGTTCAGTCTAGAGTCACATTTTCTCATTCCTCCATCTGCTTCTACTTGAACAACTTTCTATAGCATGAAGGTGGGCTTTCTTCTGTATATACCCTCCTCTAACAAATGTGGGCAATACTAGGGCTTTAGATTAAATTTACTACAACTAGGAGATAGGTGGGTTTTTTCTAATTACCTTCCCTGCCCACTCACAGGTCACTTAATGGCCTAGAAGGACCAAGAATGTGGAATGAGCCTGTAAAAATATATGGGCTAAAAATAAATAACTACACCTTCTCCATGAATCTCTTTGTAGCTGAATTAGTATCTCCCATTCTTTTTCAGAGGTCCTCAAACTTTTTAAACAGGGGGCCAGTTCACTGTCCCTCAGACCATTGGAGGGCCGACTATAATTTTAAAAAAACTATGAACAAATTCCTATGCACACTGCACATATCTTATTTTGAAGTAAAAAACCAAACGGGCAAAAACACCCACATGTGGCCTGCAGGCCGTAGTTTGAGGATGCCTGTTTGACATATTCACACTAGGTGTGGAACTGTGTTTTTCAACCTTTTTTCTGTTTTACATCATATACCCATCCCACTATTTTGATACAACCCCCTTATAATAAGTACTACTTCACAGAAATAGTCTGTGTATTTAAGTCCCTCCTTTTCCCTACTGAGCTTTTACTATTATTCCTATATATTAACTAATTAGCTTTACTGCTTTCCATGATCAGAAACTATATTTCTAATCCTGTCTACCACCTCACAGATGTGTATTACCAATCTCAAAGTAATTTGAGTTAAAGAATGTGGATGAATCACCATAAATGTATCTTTACAACTAAAAAATTATATAACCTATCATTATTGGTGAGTAGCTTGATTGTTAAAGATGAAGGATGAATAAAAGAAACCTCCAAGAACACAGTCTCTACTTTTATCAAATGTATGCTTAGTAGATGTTATCCTCATACATGTTTTCACATAATGTCATGTGCAATCTCAAAAGAAATTTTAAGTATATCTGGGTAGAGGAGATGACTTTAATTTTTCAGCTATGCCAAAAAAAAACAGAAAAAATACTATACACATTAATCTACAAAGTCCAAATTTCAGTGTCTCATGGATAGAGATCTGCAGTAACTTCCCATATACCCCCTTCACTTCAACTAAGAATTTTTAAAAATTATTTTCTCTCAGTTCTGACAGTGAAATAATTCTTAGGTTTTAAAAAAGGAACCCTCACATTTAATCATTCATTATTTCCACAAACATTTCTTAAGTACTTAAGAGTATTTCAAGCACTGATCTAAGGCCTGGGAATTCAACAATGAACAAGACAGACAATATCCCTGCCCTCATAAAGTTTATATTCTAGTAAGGAACACAAGCAATAAATAAGTAAAAAGTTAAACATATGTTAAAATTGTAGGTAGTGTTAAGTGCTATGAAGGAAAATAAAATAGGTAAAGGGATAAATGGAAATAGTAGTTGTTTTAGGTAGAGTAAGTAGGAAAGGCCCCTCCAGGGAGCCTTATTAAGTGATGAGATCTGATATACCTTTTAAAAAATCTGTCTGCTGGTTGTCTAGATAATAAATTGTAGGGCATCAAGAATGGAAGCAGAGCACAGGTGGTGGCTTAGACTAGAGTGGTAATGGCAGAGACCATGTGAAGTGGTCATATTTAAACTATATTTTGAAGGAGAGTAAAAGGACTTGGTGATGGGCTGAATGTGGGTGTGAGCAAGAGAGAAGATTCGGGAATGAATCCCTGGTTTTTGGTGAGCAAATGGGTGAATGATGATTTGAGGAAAAGAGAAAGATCACAGACAGTTCCTACGATTTGGTCATAGAGTCAATGGAAGTGCCATTTATTGACCTGGGGAAAGTTTTGTGGTGGGGGACAGAATTTAGTAGTTCTGATTTGGTCACATTAGGTTCTGTCTATGAAACATCCTAGTGTAAATGGGAAGAAGAATGACTGGAGAAGAGAAAGATTAGAAACCTGAGCCCTGAATAAGTTGAGAAATGAAAGAGGAGCCAGCATAAAAGGCTAGATAAGAGTGGCAAATGTACTAAGAGGGAAATGAGGGAGACATGCTATAGAAGCAAACTACAGAAAGTGACCCCCCTCAAAAAAAAAAGTACAGAAAGGTTTGATCCACTGTGTCAAACACTGCTAGGAGGTTCAGGAAGATCAGAACTAAAACATGATTATTGGATTTGGCAAGGTGAAGATTACTGATAACCTTCACAAGAACCATTTCAGTGAAGTGTTGTGGGTGAAGCCTGATTGGAACAAATGGAGGAGAGAAGGAAAAGAAAGGAGTGAGAAATAGCAAGTGGAGAAAATTCATCTGTGAAGTTTTGCTAAAAATGAGAACAGAGGTATAGAGTAGTAGCTGAAGGGAGGAATATGGGGCTTATGTCTGTGTGATCTGAGAGGAAATTGATGCCAAAAAGAGAACGGGTACTTGCAGGAGGAAAGTCCGTAAGTAAATAAGAAAAGATGGAATCTAGTATGTGAGTCATCACAAAGCCCTATCACCCTCCCCCAATATAATTTCCAAGCAGATCATCAAGGTACCAAGCTTCCTACTATTAGAAGCGTCCCTTTCAGCGAAGACATCTCCAGAAGAACTACATTTAAAATGTAGTCATTTTATTCGGAGGCATAGTAAGCCATGTTTTTCTATGGCATTCTTTAAATCCTTATGCATTTTTTTACAAAATTGTACTTTGGCATCATGCCTTGGTTTACATTGAAAAAAATTACAAGAGTTACATAACACTCCATTTTCTTTTTATTTTAGAAGTGTGGTTTAGAAGAATATTGACCATGAAATCACTCCTAAAGTACCTTTTACAAAGCCCCATAAAAAATTACCTTAGTTTAAATATTGGGAAAAGTTGTGTCCCTCCTATGCAACTGATGTGTTTTAATTTATGGATACTAATATTTGATAATGTTTTCCTCTTTTCTTTGGCCATTCAGAAGTTCAGAATAAATTGGTGGACATCATAGTTTATCACAAGAGTTAGGGAAAACTGAAGGTCTGTCTGTCTCTCTCTCTCTCTCCATCTGTTTTAGGAAATTACCAAGCTGCTGCCTTTCCATAGGATTTTTTTGGATCGACTAGAAGAGAATGAAGCCATAGACCAGGACCTGCAGGCTTACATCCTGCATCGGATACACAGCAGCTCAGAGATCCAGAATAACATTTCACTAAATGGCAAAATGGACAATACTACATTTGGCAAACTCAGTTCTCATCTCAAGACCCTCAGTCAAGGGTCCTATCTATACCTGAAACTCACATTTGACCTCATAGAAAAAGGCTATCTAGTGTTAAAGAGCTCTAGCTACAAAGTAGTTCCTGTTTCGCTCTCAGAGGTTTATTTACTCCAGTGCAATATGAAGTTCCCAACCCAGTCTTCCTTTGACCGGGTAATGCCTCTCCTGAATGTGGCAGTGGCCTCTCTCCACCCACTGACTGATGAGCATATCTTCCAGGCCATCAATGCTGGTAGCATTGAAGGTACACTAGAATGGGAGGATTTTCAGCAGAGAATGGAAAACCTATCCATGTTCCTAATCAAACGCAGAGACATGACTCGTATGTTTGTACATCCTTCTTTCCGAGAATGGCTTATCTGGAGAGAAGAAGGAGAGAAAACCAAATTTCTGTGTGATCCCAGGTAAGACAAAGATCTATAATAAGCAATTCTGAACCTATTTTCTATTTATTGCATGGAGCATGGGTATTGAAATTAGTGAGAAGTGTTTTTCATTGAACATTTCACATAGAGGAGACATCTTTGTTTTTTCTTAAGGCAAGGCTATAATAAGGTTAACTAATTCATTTTCTCACAATGTTATTTCTTTAAGACTCAGTTATCTGCATAGTTATTTAGAATGCTACCCTCCATTCCTATGTTTTCCTAAATCATTTTCACTGACTCCAATAGGAGTCAAAGTCTATAATTAATTTAGCCATTTAACAGACTGCCTCAGTATTCTTCAGATATGAAAAAAGAATTGATATATTGTTCATCTCTTTGACTTAGAGCAGAATCATTTAAAAGCCTTATCATCATTAAAGTCACCAATGGCTAACCCCAGTAAAGTCCAGCCAGTGCTGAAAAAGAATTATGCCTTTAATAAAGTGGATGTTTTCAAACGCCAAGTATATTACTGATTTCCTGGAAACAAAGAACACACCAGTGACATAGGTGGCAGATGCAGCACTTATTTTGGCTCAAAAAGAAGATAGGCCAGATTTGACTATGCTTCACACCATGACTCATCAGACCAAAACTCTCTGATCATGCTGGAGTTTTATTACCCTTATGATCACATCCCTCTCCAAGCATTATTGGAGACCACTGTGCCTGTGGGCATGCTGCTCAGCCTACTTCATGCTGATTCATCAGAAACGTCGTTCCAGATTATGATGAAGATAATAAACCAAGCAGTAGATTTTGTGGTATTTTCCCTGAGAGGGAAACTTTTTAAACAAACATGATGTTTGTTTAAACAGCAAAGTGGAAGCGACATAAACTTTTTAGTCCAACTACCTGCATATAAATCCTTCCTCTTCTGGGAACTGTGACCTTTGAAAAAAATTATATGTTTCTGAAACTTAGTTTTCTTGTCTATATATGAGAAATAATAATGCCTTCTTCCTAGAGTTGGTGAGAATTAAGTAAGGTCATATAGTACATAGTACAAAGAATGTGTTCAGGGCATTTTCTTTTTTCTCCCCTCCCTTTGCATTAATAGACTCTTTAGGTATACCTTAACTAAATCCTGTGGCTAATTGGATAGCAGGTGTCTAATTATCTGCTATTAGCATATTTCGCACCAGATTTAAAAGAGAAACAAAAAAACATAGTCTGAGTCTTTTCTGTGAATTGTATGGCATCCCCAAAAGGATTTTACTATAAATCCTACTAGTATTGCTACTGATGCTTATATAGAGAGTTGGCAACTATACATTTAAGAAAAAGAGAGTAATCTAGAATTGCCTAATAAGCACTTTAAGATCAGTAACCAGAGAAACTTTGCTAGCTGGTCTGGACCTCAGATCCTGGGACATCTCAGAGGATTGAAAACTAAGGCCAGACTACCACTGAATTAATGGTATCCCTACAACAGATGAAATTCTCAGTGGCCCTCAAAGTAGAAAATATGGCTTTTATGCAGCTGTATCATGGCTGTACAGGCTTACCTTCTTGACATTGTTTATTAACTAGAAGCCTTGCAACAGCAGGCTGACTCACTGGGACAAGAAGAGCAAACACTTCTAACTTCAAACGCTATAGAGTCTGTTCCCTGGTGATTGAATAACACAGCTGCTAAGAAATCATCATTATTTCACTTAATGACAGAGAACAAAATTATAAACAGCATGAGAGGTTATTAAAAAAGCCTCCTTAGCTTTCATTTCAGTTGGAATTCAGCCTTCTCCCTAGCACTGGCTGGCACCAGCCATGTTACTAAAGGATTGGAGTATTGGTCCTAGAGCTTGAGTCTCCCTGGGTCAATGAGATGGAAATTCACTAAGAATTTAATGCTATCAGCAAAGTCCAAGCTGGCCTTTCAAAGAAACTGGAAGCAATTGCTTTCCATTTCAGGCAAGTCTGATTAGCAAGACTCTTACCAGGCGGGATTTGTCCTTGTGGCCTTCAGCCTCTACTTCTTGCACACTATTTCCCCTTCTGTTCTCCACTTTCTCTCCAACTTCTCTCTAGAGCTCTGATATATTTCAGTAGACCAGGGGAGACCAACTCAATGCCTCTGAAATCACACCAGGTAAACCAGCACCTGACATGTAAATCTCTGTGGTATAAGGAGAGCTCCCAGAAGCAACACAACATTCTTATCTCTTCAAGTTCATTTTCCTGGGCTTTCAACACTCAGTTGTTCACCCTGAACTTATTGACCTTATTAGGGAATTACACAAAGATGATAATATTCTACTCCTGCCAAAAAGTAGATCTTCTTCAAAAACAGGCCACCCAAGGAGGTAGCTTCTGCCTGAGCTGAAAAGAGTCAGTAATCTGAGGATGGTGCTAGAAAAGGGAAATAGCAGAGCCAGAGGTCAGTGCTACAGCTGAGGTTGAGTTTTGTTTTAAATATCAGACTGCCTGTTGTCCCAGAATCTGGGCAGAGAATTGCCATATCAGAGACAGTGACCTAACATTGCATAGGCATATATTTATCATAGGAAGAAATGAGTTATAATGTCTTTTCTTGCGTTGGTAACAGGATGGGGGGTGTGTGTGTGTATGTATGTGTATGTTCATCAAACTGTAAGCAAAGTATCACTGAAGAATCTTTTATGATACCAAAACATCTGAGATTTTGGATTTGCATTCAAGATAAAAGTATGCCCCTTGAAGCACTCACAGACCTTAGACTACACCAGCCTATTCTACTTTCTATTTTCCACTGTCATCCTTCATACCTTCAAGTTAATCTCTCCTATGTTTTATTCCTTTGGGCACTGAGATATCAGATTAACTCACTAATCCAATAAACTAATCCCTGCTATCATGCTAATAGTAGGGAGATAGAAAACCCATTTGAGGCAACTTGTACATTTTCAGTAAAGCATTTGAGAGAAGTAGTCACCAGCCCTTGTTATTATTCAACCTATTAATGACTTTGATAGTTGAAATTTAAGGCTGGTAGGCTGGATAATTGGGGATCACCAGCCCTGTGGTACTGTCCAATTACTGCTTAGTATTTCTACATAGGTTTAAGCTAGCTCTGAATAAATCTCAACTCTTTTCTGCTTCCTTTCCTCATTATCTCAATTTGCATGGTATCTAGTTTACCCTACCATAGGAATAGCTCTCAGATTAACATTTTGATTTATAAGTGTATATGTGTAAGATTTTGACATGGAGATTAGAAGATTTAGCTGCCTTATTTTTAAATGTTTGAATAAAACACAGGAAGTTTGTTGTGAACTTTATTTAATGAGTATTGAGTTTATACAGCCTAATAATGTGGCTTCCTAATATGGAAGCCTAATTTTGTTTGACCTGATTTTCTCAAACTAAGAGTAGCAAATCATATGGTGAGTGGAAAGGGGAAAAGGCTATACAAATCCTACCTAATATTTATAGGGATAGTTGAGTACTTGACTTGAGTCTTTATGATCAGAATTGATTGTTTATAATAAATGGTTTGTTGAGATTTTTTTTGAGATTTATTTGACCATGTTAGTGAATTATACATTGAAAACCTGATGCTCCAAAATTCATGCAACAAAGCAAGGTGTCAGGAAAGAAGCAGTTTGTCTAAGGAAAAATGGAGAGCATCCTCTCCAAAATGAAAATTAGCTATTCCAGGGACCCATACAACCTGACTTCATGTAGAGTACGTGGGTCTGAAATGACCCAAGAATGATGAGTTACAGTTTGTGGTCATTTTGGTTTTTTAATCCAAACATGAGCCTCAAGGAAGGGCGACATTTAACCTTACCCTCACTGAAGCAAAAACTCAAAATCAGTGCTCCTGATGGGCATTGCAGTCTCCCACAACAAACTCTTAAGTTGGAGGTTGGATTCTGCTTTCTAAAAACATTAGGAGAGAATTCAGCAAAGTGATGATGCATAGGAAGAGAAAGAGGCCCTTGGAACTAAATCAGCCCTTAGGAGGTTTGGAAGAGCAAAGAGAATGGAGGTGTACCAAACATTTTTACTAACACTTGACTATTAGTAGCTGACCTTACCTCCCTGGAAATATTATCTCTTTAATCTCTTTTCAGGGTCTAGATCTGCTTCACTTGTAATTCTTGGCTATCTACCACTAAGGGGTCATCAGTCCTCTGATGTCATAGTTTAGATATGTGATTTCCAGGGAGAGATTTCATTGACTGTCATATTATTGGGGATTTATCTAACTTGCCAATGAATGTTTTTTTCCTTATTGTCTAAACCAGTTTCTAACCCTTTATTGGCATCAGGAATAAATTTGAGGCTCAAATCTGAAGCATTACTCTGATGATCCATGGTCATGGTTTTGTGATATGATGCAAAAGAGGAATGAAATTTCCTGTAATGAAATCTAATGTATATTTTGGAATATGTCCAGTTTACCAATGCATGAATGTCCTTCAACTTTATAAATTTGTTTTCTCTCAACATAAATCATGAGATCTATACCTATTAGTCGAATAGACAAACTGGTCTCATCTTTAAAACTGTCAGACCATCATAAGATGGGCTGCACCAATATTGGTTTTTTTTGTTTGTTTGTTTGTTTTTTGAGACAGAGTCTCGCTTTCTTGCCTAGGCTAGAGTGAGTGCTGTGGCGTCAGCCTAGCTCACAGCAACCTCAAACTCCTGGGCTCAAGCGATCCTCCTGCCTCAGCCTCCCGAGTAGCTGGGACTACAGGCACAAGCCACCATGCCCGGCTGATTTTTTATATATATATATTAGTTGGCCAATTAATTTCTTTCTATTTTTATGGTAGAGACAGGGTCTCGCTCAGGCTGGTTTTGAACTCCTGACCTTGAGCAATCCGCCCGCCTCGGCCTCCCAGAGTGCTAGGATTACAGGCGTGAGCCACCGCGCCCGGCCCAATATTGTTTTTCTTTTCCAAATCCAGAATCAAGTTTAGAAAAAGCTGATAATCAGAATTCTTCCTAAACCCAGTTAAAACTGAGAACTACTTGTTCTTACT